AAAATGAAAAAAAAAAGAAAAAAAAAAAGAAAGAAAGAAAAGGGAAACCTCTTTATATGCAATGGTAATTATAATAATAATTGGACTGAGACTTGCACCAAATTGGACTTGTTTTGTTTTCCTTCTGAAGTATGTATCATTTTAATGTATTACACTTAGTGAAGGGGAGCCTTGGCGTAACTGGTAAAATTGCTGCCATGTGACCAGGAGGTCATGGACTTGAGCCGTGGAAACAGCCTCTTGCAGAAATGCAGGTAACGCTGCGTACAATAGACCCTTGTGGTCCGGCCTTCCCCGGACCCACGCATAGCGGGAGCTTAGTGCACCGGGCTGTACAGTATTACAGTTAGTTTGCAAGGTGCAGAACTAGTCAAGCAAATAATGAAAGTGTTGATTATTTCAAGCATCAAGTTTTGGGGTAAAATTGATTACTTTTTGATGCAGTTAAACTTGGAATTTATCATTCTTAGATTAGGGCATCTTAAATCAGCTCATAATTATGTTTATACTTGTACCTGCATTGTTGATCAACAGACAATCAGAGGTATCCTATCCTGCATTAGTTTATTGGTTTTCATATAGAATCTTTTATATATGATGAGTCTATGTTTAGACCTTATCTGACATGAACTTGCTTCATATAGGGAAATATCCAATGAGCAAAAATCTGAGACACAAGCTGAAAGCAAATCATCCATGTGGAAAAATCTGAAGTCTCTTGCAGCTGGAATCCTCAACATGTGGAGGAAACAGTAAATTAGTGCCCAGGTGATCTCTACTTTTGAATGCTTCCATTTAGATATCATATTGTTTTTATCGTCCATTCTTGTAGCTACGAGTTCCCTTGTCACTTCCTCTAAATGTAGACGTTTGTGGTTCTGCAGAGTTAGCTTCCAGAACAAGGTGTAGATGGACAGAAATTAAGTCTGACTTGAGAAATCTTACTGTATGTTATGCAGCCAAATCTATACGATGTAATCATTTAATTTTTAGTAAATGATCAATGGTGAGAGAATCTGATGATGGGTTGTAGTCTTGAAATAGTTGTTTTCCCTTTTCAAGGTAGGAGCCTCTTGGTAGGACAGAATTGCTGTAGTAGGTGAGCGCAAATGTTATACTTACATAGGTGATGGTGTAAAACTATCCTCAATGAGGAGATGCATGCTCATGTAAATACTGATAGCTTGTTTGGCCAAGCTTTTTCAAGACCAAAAGAAAGTGCTTTTGAGTAGAAGCAGAAGCAGTTTTGGAGAAGCAGAAAAACGTAGCTGCTCCTTAGAAGCATTTTTTTGAAAAATACTTTTGAGAAAAATATAGTTAGGAGCTTGTTTGGCCAAGCTGACTGCTTATTAACTTTTGTTCAAAAGTACTTTTTGCAAAATAGTAGTTTGTGTTTGGCCAATTCGTTTGAGTAGTGCTTTTTACAAGCTCATTGTGTTTGGCTAATCTTTGAAAAAAGTACTTTTAAGTATCAAATTACGAAATAGGTCAATAAAGTTTCAATTTGTGAATAGTATTATTTAGAAAAGAAAAATAAATTTAAACATTTATTATAAGATAATTCAATGAAAATATAAAGTAAAGTAAAATATAAATTAAAAATTCCAGTCAATATAAAATATAGTTATTTCTAAGCAATAACATTGACTATTTGGTATTATTTATTGTTTACACGATAATTATGCATCATTCAATATAAATTTAAAATCTACCGTTAAAATATGAGAGAATAAAAATTTGATGAAAATAAAAAAGAGAAGAAATTCAATATAAATTCAACGGCAAATGGCCAAATATATCCCTCTACTTTTGAATATTGTTTACCTGACCTTTTGTTATACTATTGGGCTAACCATACCCTTACCGTCATACTTTGGAACAAAAATAGAGAAATTTTCATAAAGTACTATCTTTTAGTAGTGATTAGCCATTTATAGATATCATTTGCTATATTATAGATTATAGATACCTTTTATGTGGTTATAAGATGTATTTTATGTATTTAAGCTATTGTATTCATGAATACAGTAACAAAAATAGGCGTGAATCAGGGAAGTCCAGCTAATCAGTTGTTGTATTCGAGTGTATTTGACTGTATTTATGGAGTGAAACATGGGATTACAGCTGGACAGATTATTGTAGATTATTGTATTCGACTGTATTCACGGCGTGAAATAGAAGATTNCTATTGTATTCATGAATACAGTAGCAAAAATAGGCGTGAATCAGGGAAGTCCAGCTAATCAGTTGTTGTATTCGAGTGTATTTGACTGTATTTATGGAGTGAAACATGGGATTACAGCTGGACAGATTATTGTAGATTATTGTATTCGACTGTATTCACGGCGTGAAATAGAAGATTACACTGTTTTTAAAATGGAAAATGAATCAATTAACATAATAGACTCCTAATATAACTCAACAAACTCAATTATCACACACAAATTTTTTATTTTCAGTTATAAAAAAGATTCTCAACCGAAAAATACCCAAAAAATATATCAATCTTCATAGAAATTATATAATACATCTGAATACATAAATTATATTAATTAAAAAAAACTTATAAATACATTCATGGCATATAGCGAGATGGTGAATACAATGAAATACATAAAATACAGCGGGATACATTGAAATACAATAAAAAAAAGACAGTGAATCTAATGAAATACATGGAATACAACGAGATACACTAAATTACAAAGAAAAAAAATGATTTTAGTTATATGGCCCAATGAAACAACTCAATTAGCTGAATACAGGAAGTCGATGATTCTAGAATCTAGATTGCGTTCCGAAGTTTGACGACGACTCTCTCTCTCAACTGTTAAAAAATTCTAGTCTGAATGAATATATAAAAGGATTGTGAAAAAATGGCATTTTTGAGGTCAATTGTGACTGCAGAAACAGCCGCCATTGCTGCTGTTATTCCAGCTGCTGCTTTTGCTGTTTTAGCAAATTTCCTCTTCCTCCTCTTCTACTTCGTAATTCGAACGCCTTTCAAAAGAATCTAAAATTTGGCTCAATACTCAAACAAAGATTGTTTCCCTTCCGCCATCGAAAATTTTAATGGGATGTGGGAAGAGAATGGAATATATCAAAGTAGAGAGAGAAAGAAAAAAGTGTAACAGATTAACGTATTTAGTGGCTTAGGGCTAGGAGGTAACTATATTTAAATATTTTGCTATAAATCTTAAAAGTTATCTATACAACATAATTTTTTTAAATGGTATTTATTTAAAATAAATAAGGTGTTAACCTTTGCTATAGGAGGTAAAAATTCCACAAAGATACCCCTATTTTGGATGGAGTGCCACGTGGCAGCACCAGATTTAAATGATCCATTTCTTTTTTTTTTGCCTAACTCGTTTTACAAAAAAACCACAACCCGAACCATATTTTCATTTTCAGTTTTTTAAAGAATTTTCTTTTTGTAAAACTTAAAAAAAAATTGTAAAATATTTTCGTTTTTCTAAACTGAGTAGATAGCGAAAAGATTTTGCAAAACAAATTGTAAAAACTGAAAAAATCGTTTTTTTAACAAAATATTTTTTTTGTAAAAACTGAAAAAAATTGGAAAAATTGGAAAAAAAAAATCAGTTTTTAACAAAATATTTTCGTTTTTCAAAAACTAAAAAAAATGTTTCCAATAAAATATTTTCGTTTTTGAAAAATGTTTTTATTTTCAGTTTTTTTAAAGATTTTCTTTTTGTAAAAACTGAAAAACAAATTTGCATAAACTGATTTTTTTTTGGTAAAAACAGAAAAAAAATATTTTCGTTTTTTAAAAACTGAAAAAAAATATTTTCGTTTTTGAAAAATGTTTTTATTTTCAGTTTTTTTAAAGATTTTCTTTTTGTAAAAACTGAAAAACAAATTTGCATAAACTGATTTTTTTTTGGTAAAAACAGAAAAAAAATATTTTCGTTTTTTAAAAACTGAAAAAATTATTTTCAACAAAATATTTTTGTTTTGAAAAATATTTTTTTTCAGTTTTTTAAAAGAATTTTATTTTGTAAAAACTGGAAAAACAAATTTGTAAAAACAGGAAAAAAATATTTTTTGTTTTTTAACAAAATATTTTCGTTTTTTAAAAACTGAAATTTAAAAAAAAAATTGGAAAAAATGAAAATAGGGGCCGGGTTGTGGGTTTTTTTTAAAAACGGTTCGGGTAAAAAAAATGGGTCATTTTAATCTGGTGTTGCCACGTGACACTCCGTCCAAAATAGGGGTATTTTTGTTTCAAAGTATGACGGTTGAAGTATGGATAATCAAATATCATAACGGTAGGGGTATAGATAGCCCAATAGTATAACGAGGGGTACATGTAAGCAATTTTTAAAAGTAGAGGGGTATATTTAGCCCTTTGCCGTAAATTCAATAAAAACTGCTTATGCTGCTGCTCAAAAGCATTTTTTCATTTTGGCCAAACCCCTTAAACTTTTCAAAGTGTACTTTTTTTGACAAAAAAGTATTTTTGACCTCTGAGAATCTTGGCCAAACAGGCTCTTAAAAATACTTTTTAAAAATTTGGTGAAATACTAATTGCTGCTCAGAAGTTCTTTTCAAATTAATTATCCAAACACAAATTGTTTCTCACCAAAAGTACTTTGAGAAAAACAATTGAGAAAACACTTTTCAAAATAAATTGATTTTAGAAGCTTGGCCAAGCAGGCTATTGTATGGGTCCAAATTCGGACAATCATGACTGTTGATGAGTACGACAAACGACGAGATCCTCGTAGCTCGACATCCTGCAGAGGACGACCTAAATGCGAATAAGAGATTGTACGACTTTTACAGCAGTGTAGGCCCATTAGGGGACATTAGGAATATTCTTTCAAATATTCCCTATGATTTGTCTTTGAAGGCTTAGAAGAGATTTGTCCCTTATATATAGAGAGCGTAAAACAATCTTGTAAGCCCTCAGAGCATTTTCCTCACTTATTACACTTGCTTACATGAACGATTGATGTCATTATTGTTTCAGGGTTCATCTTTTGTTCTAGAAATTATTATATTTAGCTAAGATTTACCCCTTCATTTTCTTTGATTGATTTATTCGAAAAGATTCCGATATCTTTTGAGTTAAACAACTATAAACAAGCCAAGTTGTTATCTATCCTTTTTGTGGGCAGTTGGTAACACCTAACACGTATTGGCTGGGAAGTTGAATTGTTTAATTTTGAAAAGTGTAAAATAACCCAAGATGGGCAAAAAATATGCAGATAAAAGGTTCAATGGACGTATTGGGCGTGTACAATTCATTCTGCCTCAAATCTCAATTGCAAGATCAAAATTTGTCATTGTTAGACAAATGAAAATGCTAATGCAAGAAACACCCTAGCACACTAAAAATGGTTAGCCTGTATATGAGTTTTTCCATTTCTTTTTTGCAAAAACCATCCTTAATCAGTCTTGGTAAAAATTGAAAAATTACTATTTTACCGTTTAGCTGGAAAATAACTTTTGCAAACAAAATAAAAAATTAAAAAATAAATGCTAAGCAATATTCAGGTTTAACCATTATTCGTTATTAAGAATTTTTTGCCATTAGAAATTATTTGGCATCTTAAGTATTATTCACTATTAAAAATTATCCGCCATTATGCACTATTTGGCATTAAAAGAAATTGGGCAAAACACAAAATTGGCCTGTTAGGCTAAAATTAATTGTATTTTTCTTTGCAAAAAATCATTTTCAATGAATTGCCAAGAAAGAAAGAAAAATTAGTCTTTATAAAAGTTGAGAAATTATTAGTTTTGCCGTTTAGCTGAAAAATAAGTTTTGCAGTAAATTAATATTTTTGGAAAATTGCAATTTTTCCGCAAATATTAATCTTCCATTTTTTTTTCAAATAAAGCAACCTAAAAAATTGTATGGGACAATATTAGACGTAATAGTAGACATAATTAGTATTGGATGAGTTTGTGTCCAATTTAAAGTTGATGATCTTTCTCTATGTCTGTGTTTGAAGAAGTGAAATTTGCCAATGGTGCTATAAATATTCTTATGACAAAACTTAAAAATGAAAAAAGAAAAAAGAAAAACTAAACAAATTTATGGGAACAATATTGAAAAAAAGGACTCCATAAAAGTCCCAAAGCGATTTATAGGCATTCATTTTGTACTGCAAATCCAACTTCAACCGATCCATCATCATCGTCCTTGTACCTTTTGCCTGTCTGATCATCAAAACAGGTGATTGCTTTACTTTGCTTGTAATT